TGACATACCAACGCCGACACAGGCGCAACAAACACAACAAATCCCTCAGCTTTCCACGACTAACGACGCCCCACAAATGAAGGCCACGGATGCTTTCATGGGTGCATCTCGCAGCAACACTCGCCCGACAACCCCTTTCATGCCTTACTCTATCCCAGGCACGCCGCCAGACCTTTTCCTGCACACTCGCAACTCGCCCAAGATCTCCGACGACCTCTGGCAAAACTACCAGCCGGACCAGCTCTTCCCACCCGAGACCAACGGTCTTTTCCCTCTACAGAGTCCGAATCAAAACATGGTTGATCCAGCTTTGAGGCAGCAACCGCCACCTCAACACCCATCACAATTCGCTCCACACATGCAGGCGCAACCGCAGTCGGGCATGCCGATGGAGCACCAGCAAATGTCATCTGGCATGTCCTACCACCAGGATCCCGCCGCCTGGGCACAATTACAGGCAATGTCCGGGCAGCAACAAAGCGACGATCAGTACAGCAACTCGTCCTACAGCGGTCCCATCGTTCCCACAACTTTGAATGTGGGCGACTGGTTCGAATTCTTTGGTATTCCCAATGCCGGTAACGATGGCTTAGGAAGCGGCTTCGGTTGACGATACACCTTTCCGCTTGTTCCTACTGGAAAAAATGCATGTTCGCAGGGCTCTATCTCGCGTGAATATTTGTTAGCAGAACATGTGGCTGGGAGTGTGTAACGATTGCCACTTTACGATGCGAGGTTACCCACGAGGTTTGGACCCCGGCGGTTGGCGCGAGGCTTGGAACCACTGCACGACGATGACTTTCCAACGCATCAATACTGTGGCTCCTCCACATCATTATGCTTTCTACGATAGATGCGTTTGCTATCATATATACATACTATCGAGTGGTCTGCTCTGCTGCGTGCCTGTCCGTCTGTACGACGCTTCGAGTTTGCCGTTGGTCTGATATCGCTGTGTTCTCGATGACTGTCAGGTAAGTGTTTTTCTTCTCAAGACGTCTGCCTTTCGTGCACTACTTACAAGTACGAACAGCTTCTTCCACACAAATAATTCCACTAGCAGCAACCAACGTTTCTCAGCCCTATAACCGTGTCATCTTATAGGGCACATCATTGCCATTGTGCATCGTCCTACCGAAAGCGCCCCCAGGCGACCAACAAAACATGCCGAGCGAACAAGCCCAAGCTTCAAGACATTCCAACTGCCATCTGCCATGAGCAGAAACGCAACAAAGCGCAGCGCCGAGTAATTCGAATTGTTCCATACACGCAAACGCCGTCTTGCTGGATAGGGACAGTGCAGGCCAACTTTTCAGACATGAGCGAAATCTGGTAACCACGAGGTAAATTACCTGACGACGAGAGAGTGTGCTTGTGCGATCTGTATTTGAAGCCTTTGACCTACATGTACCCATCTTGCCGACTGACTGTTTGATCTTTCTCTACTGCCTCTCCCAATCATTCAATCAACTCAAACTTCGCCATCCAAAAAATCGATCGCAAGTCTACGAAAAACGAACGACACGCATACCAGACAACCCAGATTTTTACGAAACGAAACAAAAGACTTCACTCAAGATGCTCTCCTCCAACCTCCTCAGCATCGTCGCAATGGCCAGCTTCGCCCTCACAACCGCCTCAGCAGCAGCCCTCAAGCCTCGCGCCGAGTCAAAAGCCTGCACCAACCTGCTCTACTCGATCCCACAATGCTGCGTGCCCGACGGGACTGGTCTCGCTGAACCGGATTGCATCACTCGTAAGTCTTATTGACATGGAAGCTTCACTTCCTGCGCCTACTAGGCAACAGTAGAACCCGCTGACAGGTTTTCTCTTTGACAGCCGCCAGCGCCGCCACTGCTGATGATCTGAAGGCCTCGTGCTCCTACGGCGACAGGACCGAAGCTTCGTGCTGCTCTGACCCTAACTCTGCCTCTAGTGTCGGGAGTCTTTGCATGCGAATCCAAGACATTGCCCAAGAGGAAGAGGGAAAGGGGGATTCGGTGGTTTGAGATGATTGCTTGGGTTGATGGCTTTCACTTTTCTTTTCTCTTTTTTTCCCTTTGAAATGCATTAGTGCATTGGTGTTTCCTGGCTTCCTGGTCGATGTGTTTCGGCGAAGCTTTTCATTACTCTTCGAGTCTTCTGGGACCGAAAATAGATACGGAGGGAGAGTAAAACTTTTTGGAAAGACATAAAATCTTTCTAATTGACTTGACACAAAAGGATATCACTCAAACTCAAGCACCCAAGCATCCCCAAGTCTCTCGTTATCCTCTCCCAAACCGCCAACCACAGCCAAACGACCTTGACCAACAGCAGCAGCACCAAACCATCCTCTCGGAGCCGGCCTTTGAGAAGTGCTCGTAGTACCATCCACCCTCATCCACCTCCTCCCCTCCACCTCAAACGCCCAAACATCCCCCAACATCTTCCCAGCGCCCTCATGCCCAAGCGAACTCGGATCCGCCTCACCGAAGACCGCGATCAACACCAATTTTCCACTACCAAGAACAACAGGCACAAACCCAGCTACACTCCTCGCCCGCGGCCCCTCAACCCCATCCGCCACAAACTCAACCGAGTCTCCCCACTCCCCTCGCTCGACATCGAAAAAATCGATCAACCCGCCAATTTCTCTCTTCCCATCGAACCCGCCAAACCTCCAGACTTTCCCCTCGGCGAAACACAGGCTCGTTCCTCCCCTAGCCGGTCCCGGGGCGTTGGGCAGTTGCCTCCAAGTCCGGTCGTTGACATTGAAGGACCATAGATCGCGCAGACGGCCGTCCGCAGCACAGCCGGCGTGGATGAAGATCTGAGAGGTGCCGTCGATTGTGGCGCTGTGGTAGCTGCGGGCGGAAGGGTGGGGCGCTGTGGGAGACGAGGGGAGCAGGAGGTTCCATTGAGGTTGTTTTGTTGTTGTAGTCCCAGGTGTAAGAGTCCAGAACCCGCCGTGTTCGTCAAGCGCGGTCATGGAAGGGCCGCCACGGCCAGAGAAAATGTAGAGGGTATTGTGGACAGCGGTCATTGAGGTTCCGACT